GGATGTTTCCTTTCTAGAGTGTTTCGTTTTGGGTGGTTTCGAAGGAATCGCTCCCCCTGCCAAGGGAGGGACGAGGTTTTTGAGGCAAACCTGCTGCAGTAATGATGCATCTTCAGGAGCATCTCGCTGCTGAGCTTTTTGCTCTATTCCAACCCCACCCCTTCCATCCAGATCCCACTACAGAGCCCAGCCCAGGTTCTGTGGGGGAAACCCACATTCTCCCAAGCTCGTTGAAATATTTACCATCAAAGCTTTACTTGGGCAAAGAGCTGGATGCAAACTTGGGTAGAAAGCAAATGCTTTCAGCACAACACTCCTTGCTTTGAGTTGCCTGATCACAACTGAGAAGTGTTGGCCCCAAACTGAAAACTCCGGCTGCTGAGAGCCAAGAAGGCTTTGGCGGTGAGCACGGCTTCCCAGTGAGCCACTGCGATTTCCTGCGTGAGAGAATAGCTCCAGCAAAGCTCTTGAACTTAATTAAATGTGGTCTTGGAGTAAGAACCCCATTTCTTTGAGCCAGCCCTGGGAAAAAAACCACCCCGGGGTTGTGAAGTGGTTTGCATCTCTGATTGTAGGTGCAAACGTGCACATCCTTTTTTTCCATATGGCGAATCCCTCCTGGGCCATGGCTCAAACTAAGCTGAACTCCAGCAGAGTTGGCCCAGGCTCCCACTGCCGGCTGTTCTGACAGCTTCTGCAGAAGTGAAGGGGAAAAGGAAAGGTCCTGGAGGAGACCTTCCAGTGGGGCAAAGGCAGTGAGATGTGGGAAACTAAACAGCAAAGCCCCATTGAGAAACTGTGCCCTGCAGAGCCCTTCCATGCCAGTCTGTCTCCACAGAGGGTTTCAGCTGTGCTTTGCAGAGCCTCTTCCAAAGGCGAATTCAGTTTCCTGCTGGGGTCTGGCTCTTGGGATGAATTTCTGCTGATGCTGGAGGAGGGGAGCTTGGAAATGGTGGCTGCGTGTGAGCCTAGGCTTCCTCTGATGTCACGGATGTGAAACACAGCCTTTACTACAACCCTCCCTGAGCGCCCTGGGGTCTGCTCAGGGCTCAGCAGATATCCCCAGGGCTCTCCTTGCCTTCCCTAAACAGCAGATTCCAGGCCTTTTATAGGCAGCACCTGTTAGTTTCCACCCCTGGCAGCCCTGCTGCAGGTGAAATTCCAGCAGGATTATTTTGGGGTTCCCTTGCCCATTGGTCTGTTCCTTTAGTGAGTGACTGTGGGGCTTTGGATGCCAGTGACCAGCTGCACATCGTTTCTGGAGCACACAGCCATCCCAGAGCTCCTTATCCAGCTCCTTCAGAGGAAAAAAATCTATTTTTACCAGGAAGCATCCAAGCAGCCTCTCCTGAATTAAACCCCAGCCTCTTGCAATCTGTTCAATATCAAATACTTCAAAAGGTGGAATATAGAAAAAAAATGTGTCACCAACATGGAAAACTTGCATTGCAGCAAGAGCTGGAATTATTTTGCTCCCAAATTAAACTGAATAACGGGAAGGAGGCAGGCTCAGCCAAATCATGCTCCTGCCTCTGCTCCGGGCTGGAAGTGCTCCGGGTCTGCGCTGTGAGGGTGCTCCCACCTACGTGGGAACTGTCAGGTGATGCTTTCAGGTCTCTAAAGCCCTTGGCTAATTCTGGAGTGTGGGATAGAGCAGATTACAGGGTCAAAGCACCTAAATTCCCCATGATCTTGGGGGCAAGAGGATCGTGTTCTAGTTCCAGGTGGTTTGAAATTCAAGTTTAAGAAAAAAATTGTCACGAGGCAGCAGAGGAGAAGCAGGGAAACAGTGAGGAATTGTGGTGTCCTGTGTGTCTGTGGCCTGAAGCCCCCCACTATCCCATTCCTGGTGCCACAGGCGTGTCATGAGCTGCTGGGAGGGAGCTTGGCTGGGCTCTTGTTCCCACTGGGTGAGCATCTCAAAAGGGGAAGGAGAAGGGGAGGCATCGTCTGCGTGTGAGAAGCTGTGTTCAGGGAGAAAGAGGAAAGAAGCTTTGATGGAAACTTTGCATTTTCTAACTTGTGTGTTCTGGGGTTTTCTGCCGACTTCCCCTTTGTGTTTTCTCTTTGAGGTGGGGCGGGGGGGACATTGCTGTGAGCTGCTACGGGGGGTTGGGGTCATTCTGAGCAGGAAGGGGTCAGGTTCGTCCTGGTGTGGGGTGTTGGATGCAGGCAGGAAGTGGAGAAGCCAGGTCTGACTGGGACTCCTGCTTCTTGGCCAGGAGGTAGAGCTGGTCTTTGTTGGGATGTTCCTGTGATGGATCGTGGCTAAAGGCTGTGTGTCATAGATCAGAAATCCCTGAACAGGGTGGTCTGAGCAGAGCTGGGTGAGGGTCTCTGAGGTAGCAGGGCAGAACACATGGAAAAATACCCCAAAATCCCGTTTTAAGCCTATCCAAGGGGCTGCCTGGAGCTTCATGGTGTTTTCTGTGGTGACCAAGAGCTGCCAGTGAAGCTGCCAGCAGCGTGAATCCCTCTTTTCCCTCGATCCTCTGGGAGCAGTAGCAGTCAGGAAAACAGGAAAGCACCTTGCATCCTTTCCCTGGACAACAGCATGCTCTGTGCTTGCTAGTCCCTGGGCAGGGAGGCGGGCACGCTGCTGCCCCAGTGCGGAGGGAATGCGGGCTCGGTGCTGTGGAACGCACACAGACCATCCACATTTGGCTGCAAATCTGGACCCTGGGAGAGATTCCTGCTGTTTGCAGGCATAAATCCCTGCGGTTTCGGGAAGGCAGGACGCTTGTGGTAAGGTAGTGGAGAGCCCTTGCTGCACACCTGGCATGGCAGCCGGGCACAGGCAGGGCACCCAGCCACGCTCAGCTCTGTCCTAGTGCTTCTGAGGACGTTTCTCTGAGACCCATCACTGCAACCAAGAAATGAACTTTGGGGCTGAGCAGTGCCCGCCCTGACACTCTTTGGCGTTGGGGTCAGCTCTGGGGCCCCAAAGCAGGCATTTCCCAGCTCTCCCCCTCAGCACACCACGTGCCTCATGGGGAGATGGGCAGATGGAGAGAGGGAGGATGAAGAGGAGGTGCTCGGCTCGCTCAGGTTGGGCTGTGGGGGGTGATGCAGGCAGTTCTACCCAGTGCAGGGGACCCTCAAGGGGACATGGGGGAACCACTCCATGGCAGTTGCTTTTACAGAGGACTGCAGAGGGGAGCAGAGAGTAACACACTGATCACAGGGAACAGAGTGGCAGTGGGGAGTGGCCCTGCCCTCCTGCTCCTGTGATCACACATGGGACGTGTCCCTTGCTGTACTAGTGCTATCCACTAATGAGCTTTGTTTGCCCAATTTGGTGGAACCAGTACTTGGTGTTGTAATCCCCCCCTGGGTACAAGGAGCGGCTTGGGGTCTTTGTGGCTGCTGGCTGGGGGTTCCAGTCTCTCTGCCTGTGGCAGCCTGGTCCCTGTCTGTGTCACATCCACGTGCAGTGGTTTTGTGAGAGACGGATGATGCGATGATGCTTCTGTGCTTGAGAACTTCCTCTGTGAGTTTCTCAACCATTTCTTGCGAAAGGTCTCTCGGCAGCAGGAGATGGAGAAGTTCAGGAGATGCCACAGAAGCAGATCCAGCAGTGTTTACCCTGTGTCAGTGCTGTGTTCAGCACATGGAGTGCAGGAGGCCTCTGCTCCAGGGCTGCTCCCCACAATTGTGGTGTCACCTGAGAAGCATGGGGTTCCTTTGCAGGGGCCCAGGGCACCACTGCTCAGGTGCAGGACCAAGACTCAGAGTGAATCACTCATCTGGACATGACACAAACCACTCAGTCCCTCTGTGCTTGTTTTGTGGGAAAAACTTGTTCTGGTGTCAGATGCTGCTGCCATGTTAACTCTGACATGCCTTCAAAGGGAAACACCAAGGCCTGAAGGTTTTGGCTGAGGATGCTGTGGACTGATGCCCAGGGCAAAAAGCCTTTAACTGGGGCAGTCTGGAGAAACTGCTCCTGGTAACTCTGGCCATAGAGATTGAGTAATTCCACACACAGTGGAACAGTGAGAACATCTGTGGGTACAGCACATACCACTGTGAGTCAGGAGGGATTAACAGCTGCCAAAAATCAGCTCTGGTCTCTGTGAGAGCCAGCTGTGGCCGGAGGGGTCAGAGCAGCTTGTCCCACAGCAGGTCCTCCTGGGAGCATCCAGACAGAGATTATCCTGCTGTGTCCCAAGGGAAGCTTTGGCATGAGTTGCTGTCCTGGATTTCCCTGAAAGGAAGCTATAGCCAGGTGGAGGTCATTCTCTTCTCTCAAATGACAAGCAACAGAACAGGAGGAAAACAGCTTCAAGTTATACAGGGGAGGTTTAGGTTGGATACTGGGGAAAAGTACTTCACTGAAAGGGTAAGAGAGCTGTCCAGGGCAGCAGTGGGTTCACCATCCCTGGAGGGATTTAAAAGATGTGTGGATTTGGTACTTGGGGTCATGGTTTGGTCGGGGGCTTGGCAGTGCTGGTTTAATGGTTGTACTCAGCGATCTTAGGGCTTTTCCAGCCTAAAAGATTATGTGATGTGATCTCACATCGTGATTCTGGTGTGAGAGATGTGTGGTGCCAGTCCATGTGCTCCCCATGCTGCTCAGCATTACCTGCTCAAACACAATGATCTGTGTGACCATGACACCCAAATCTCTATATCTAGGTGCCACAGCTACCTGTTACCAACAGGTGGATCTAAGTGGTTCCCCCACTTCTCTCCTCATGTGGCTTAAAAAAATGTTCCTTTAAGCAGTAACCAGGATTGAAATCTTTTGTGAATTTGGTTGCAATAACTATATTGGCATGGGAAGCACTGACAAAATTAACTCCTGGGTAAACCCGTGGATGTGTAGTGGGGGCTGTCTGGAGTGTCACTGTCTCTGTGCATGGAGATGCAGCACAGGTGGCTGGATTAGGGACCAGTGGTGTGGATGTGCTCCAAAGACGTTGTCTCCCTATGGTTGCTGCTGAGCAGCCTGCTTGGCTGGCATTTGTGAGGGCACTGGCTGTGCTCTGCTGGGATCACCAGGGCTGGGATTTTATGCAGAAAAAGGACAGATTTGGAACAGTAAATGAAGTGTCACATTGGTGATGGGAGCTGGCTCTTTGGACCACCTCGTTTTGAGCACTTCTTTCTCCTGGCTGACAAAGCCAGGTGGCTGTGGGAGGCAGCCCAGTGTATTAGAGACATGGGCAGCTGGGATGTGTTCCATGATTTATCGGTATGGAGCACAGCACAGTCACCAAGCAAAGCTCTGTCCAGCTCTGCGCTGAGGACAGAGCACTGTGCCCGTGGCCACAGCCCATCACCTGGGGTGCTCAGCCTGTCCCAGGGCTGGGAAAACAGTTGGAAGTCTGGATGTGTGGTGCCAGGAGAGACATGGTCTCTTTTTTTCTCTAGGTGTGGGTGCCCAGGAATTCAGGCTGCACCAGCCCCAGGACAAGGTGTCGGTGGCAGCAGGGGAGACTCTCACCCTGAACTGCACCATGTCTGGAACGGCTGTAGCAGGTGCTGTGGGATGGCTGAAGGGCTGGGGCAGTGAGAACAAGACCATCTATGACCAGAAGGGGCCCTTACCCCGTGTGACGAGAGCAGTGGTTGAGTCCAACACAGACTTCACCATCCACATCAGCAACGTTCAGCCTGAGGACATGGGCACCTACTACTGTGTGAAGTTTGTCAAGGGGGACACTGGTCAGGATGAGGTGTTTAAGCGTGGCAGTGGCACAGAGGTGTCTGTGCAAGGTGAGTGGGGCTCCTGGAGCAGCTCCTGATGGGAACCAGCCCAGTGGGCTCTGCTCAGGTAGCACAGGGATGGGGAAGGGGCTCGGGGGTGGTCCGGGGGAGGATCCCATGAGCCATCCCTGTGCCCTTTAGGAGACTCTGCTCCAGGCAGGCCCAGGGCTGGGCAGGGGCCAGAGCCTGGTCTGATGCCCCGTGCTTCTCCCCACAGCCAAACCCAGTCCCCCGCTCGTGTCTGGGCCTGAGCAGAGAGTGAGCCCGGGGCAGTCGGTGTCTTTCACCTGCACAACTGGAGGGTTCTTTCCCAAAGAGATTGTGGTGAA